AATTGGGTCAAAGTCCTCTTCACCATGTCGACACTTTCAATTTCTGTATTGACACGGCCAAGATGGGCCACTGATTTTTCCTAACACCGTATTTATTCGAATAAGCGCCCAACCTCGAATTAGCGCCCACCTCGAATAACCGCTCATCCTAAAGGCAGAAAAAGTTAATAAGCGCCCAGCCTCGAATAAGCGCCCACCCCACCCCCTCCCCCTCCCAATCAAACTCAATTAGCGCCCACCCCCACCCCACCTACTTGAGCGATAATGAGATTGACATTGAAATTGAATAAGAACTAATAAGAGACTTCCCCGAAGACGAATTGTAGTTGTGTCATGAGGACCCGCAAGACTTAGAGATCTGCGAAGTCGGTCATCTGAAATGACCGATTGCGCAATGTAAAACAAAAGACGTGTTGACAACTCATAGAATACGATCCTCCCTAAATCATCACGACTGAATGTTTCATTTTATTTACAAGTCATCGTTTGACAGCTTAACCAAATTAATTAGAAATTTGATTCATTGCACTCAATGGAAACACAGAAAAAAACTCGTGGGACCTTTCAAAGCAAGCCGCGACAAACGGCGAGTAAAACGCGTGAACAATTTTGCGTGTGAGCTGCAAATGCCGAGTTAAAAACTATTTTTCTTGTGAGTGAAATATTTGGCTAAAAGCGAGGAAAACTAAATGCACGCAGTAACAATTATTCCGAAACCAAATCTTACATAGAATTCTTTAGTCAGTTTGCGAAGGTTAACGCAAAATGTTTTAGTACAATATTTATTTTGCCACCGGAAGGCCTCGTTGCTCGAACGACTATAAACTGCGAGCAGTCTATTACTTTCCTTTACAAAGCCGCGAACTGCTAAATGCGGGCGTCTCGACCTTCACTGATTTCACTGAAAAGCTTTGGCCGAAAACGGAAAGCGCGGGCATGGAAAGTCTCTGGCACCCAGGGTAAATTCTCTATTCTAAAGTTGTTGTTTACAATCTCGCTAGCTGGAATAAGAACTAAACAGATTTTAAGAGAAAAGGCGGGCCGCAAACAGTCCAGAAAGACTTTCTTAAATGCTTGAAATAAACACGACTTAAAAACTCGTAATGTTGTGAGACGTGACCTTAGAGTTTGCTTGAACAACAGGGGTTTTCTTTCTTTCCCTCGTCGCGCGTTGGTCACCATGCCGCACATGGAGCGTTCTAAAATTGTATTTTTTCCGCCCACTGAGACTTAGCGGTCATGAAAATGGTCTATGCAAAAAAAGGCGGCCTGCAAGCAGTCTAGAAAAACTCTCTTAATTGTTTGAAATAAACACGACTTATAAACTAGTAATAATGTGAGACGTGACCTTAGAGGTCCTTATTGTTTGCTTGAACAACAGGGGTTTTCTTTGCCGCGCGTTGGTCACTATGCCGCGCGTAGAGCGTTCTAAACTTTTACTGAGCGAATCTTATTTTTCCGCGACATACATTTCGAGGTCAAGAAGATGGTCCACGTATATTGGGTAATTATTTTCTAAAAATAAAGATTTTAGTTTTTTAGCATAGAGTTCATGCCATTATCAATAACAACCCTTTATGATCCAGTGTAACTGGAAACAACAATATTTTCTAAATGACCGATTGTCAGTAAGAGAAGTATAATGCCAAAAACCCATTCCCAAAACCTACTCACTTAAGATGACCATTGGATAAGTTTACAGGTGAATTAAAAATGTGATGAATTTCTAACTCACAGAAACACGGGCGACACAGTGTTCTGTTGCATTTCACAATTTGCACTTAGGAGTCGCAGATCATCATGGCATTATCAAAAACCTACTCACTCAAGATGACTATTAGATAAGTTTGCAGGTGAATTAATAATGCCATGAATTTCAAACTCACAGAAACACGGGCGACACACCTAGTGTTCTGTTGCATTTCACAATTTGCACTTAGGAGTCGCAGAACATCATGGCATTATTGAAAACCTACTCACTCAAGATGACTATTAGATAAGTTTGCAGGTGGATTAATAATGCCATGAATTTCTAACTCACAGAAACACGGGCGACACACCTAGTGTTCTGTTGCATTTCAAAATTTGCACTTAGGAGTCGCAGAGCATCATGGCATTATTAAAAACCTACTCACTCAAGATGACTATTAGAGAAGTTTGCAGGTGGATTAATAATGCCACGAATTTCTAACTCACAGAAACACGGGCGACACACCTAGTGTTCTGTTGCATTTCACAATTTGCACTTAGGAGTCGCAGATCATCATGGCATTATCAAAAACCTACTCACTCAAGAGGACTTTTAGATAGGTTTGCAGGTGAATTAATAATGCCATGAATTTTTAACTCACAGAAACACGGGCGACACACCTAGTGTTCTGTTGCATTTCACAATTTGCACTTAGGAGTTGCAGATCATCATGGCATTATCAAAAACCTACTCACTCAAGATGACTATTAGATAAGTTTGCAGGTGAATTAATAATACCATGAATTTCAAACTCACAGAAACACGGGCGACACACCTAGTGTTCTGTTGCATTTCACAATTTGCACTTAGGGGTCGCAGATCATCATGGCATTATCAAAAACCTACTTACTCAAGATGACTATTAGAGAAGTTTGCAGGTGAATTAATAATGCCATGAATTTCTAACTCACAGAAACACGGGCGACACACCTAGTGTTCTGTTGCATTTCTCAATTTGCACTTAGGAGTCGCAGAACATCATGGCATTATCAAAAACCTACTCACTCAAGATGACTATAAGATAAGTTTGCAGGTGAATTAATAATGCCATGAATTTCTAACTCACAGAAACACGGGCGACACACCTAGTGTTCTGTTGCATTTCACAATTTGCACTTAGGAGTCGCAGAACATCATGGCAGTATCAAACACCCACTCTTGAATACACAAAGATAGATGAAAAAGTAGAATTTCTTCTTAAAGTTAAATGTCGCCCTTTAAACAAACATAATTGTAGTGTTTTCTGTCAAAAAAATTTCACTTTTCTTTAAGACCTCTGTATGCCTAATCACATTTGCAAAACAGTTTCTGAGATCAGCCTTTATGAAAAAAAAAAACATTATTAGCCATTGAAAAGTGACAGGCATTAAAGTGAAAGGAGAAAAAATTGAATTTAAATAAGGGAGAAACAATGGGCTTCAAAAATTATGTCCCACAATAATTACAAGAAAATGATATTTCAACAAACAATAAACTGGTTAACTGACCTCATTTCTCACAATTTGCTTTGCAAGTTGGTATACCGACTTTGTTACTTAATAAAAGCGAGTCATACCCATTGTTACTTGGTTGTTTCCTGAGTGAAGGATGTGTACAGAGATTTTGGATTGGCGGGCTATTTTGGTGAATTGGCGGACTATTCGATTTTGGCGCCAATGGACAGAACCCTTGAATCAAAATGAACTGATCCAGTCGACCACCTCTTGAAATCCGCTTCTAGAAACAGGATTTAGCTAAAGGACTTGTGGCGAATGATATCGAGCGACAGCGGACCAAAAAGCCCCCTCCATCGACGGCACGGAGAACCAACTCATACAAGCAAGAACGCCATCTTGTCAGATTGCTTAAATTCCTCGCTAAAACTCTTGACTGAATCGGAGGAGCCGAACATGCATAGCTTTCCATTACATAGGCTGGAATTCAAAGCAATGATACCAAGTCTTTTCGGTATCCAGCGAAGGAGAAAAAAACCTGGCGCAATAGAATAGACGAGGATCGTCACATATGTACACCGCCATCACTCGTGGCTCTCACTCTCAGGAATCTTGTGACAAAGCATCGTGGCAGATCCAGCGCGATATACCAAAAGCATACCATAGAAAGTAAAATCCAATTAATTCCATTGTAGGATGGGTTATACTTTTACTTGCACAATCCCTTTTTCCACTTGCTGATTTGTTTCTTTGTTTTGACATTACGACGCATAAATAAAAACTGCAGGCAACCGCATGCCTAAAAAGCGGCTCAATATTTACACTGGACTCCGTGCCTTCGCTACAGATCGGCTATCGTGAGATAGCACCGGCCAGTCGCAATAGGCAAAATCTCGTTTAGCCTTGAAGCATTTCAGTTTGAAAGGGAAAATATATTTTTGAAAAGACAATGCGTTCTTCCGCTTTATTTCCTGATCATTGCTGTCCGCGCGTCCTGGCGCGTGGATTCCTCGTGCTGAAATCTGGCAAAAAATTATCTAGAACGCAACTTGAAGGTTTTGCAAGGCAAACACTTTACTATAAGCAAAATTGTTTTAATTTTGCTTTATTTTAATTTTTATAATGGATAGCGTTGTATTTTCATCTGGTTTTTACCATCTTGAACACGTTCTGAGCTTTCAAAAGGATTACTACTGTAGTGGCATATGACAGGGTTGACACCTTATCGGATTACGTTTTTTGGCCAGAAATTAATGTACTTATTAAATTCCCACAGCAGGAGATTCTCTTGTCACCTTTTGAAAACAAAGCGTCCGTAGCAACTAAGAAATCATGCTGATCGCAAAAAAAAGTCCCTTGCGGGTCCTCATGCTTGGGTAGGCTGGAGGAATAGGCTAGATATATGTTAACAGCATTCAAATCATCCTCACAATGGTGGGAACCTAAATAAATACACTTTCAGACAACTACTTCAGATGATTACGAATAGAAAACAGGTGTTGATCATTTTCGGGAAGTGATCTTTGGACATGTCGCTCATCACTTCCGTCCCTAATGGCCAGCTATTCAAAACGCGTGGTAAATTTATTAATTATTATGTATGCCCTGAACCTTTTACTTTCAGCTGCAACAGAAAGTCAGAGCAACAAGTGTCCCTTAAGAGAGATTTCTTACACCACACAGGTACGCAAAAAATACCCTCTGTCTCGCCTCCGTCAAATTCTTCTGGAGCTTTCTGGCAAGAGATTTTAGATCAACTGCAAAATGCCAGTATATGAAGAACGAGATCTTGATTGTCACGAGAGACTTGGGAAAGAATGGTTTTGAGAAGCAATCGTAAACAAGACAGTACGTGGGCTTGGGTTGTGTGTATTTCAGCAGCGATTTGCAATGCACTGAACCTTGGCTTTGTTCTTAGCTTCGGTGTTCTGTTCCCTGTACTGCTGGACTATTTCAAAGAAACAAAGGAAAGAACTGGTGAGTAGAGACAATCATTTAATAACCTTTTGCCAGATATGATATCTGGAACACTATCCGATAAGAGCTGGTTCGGCTCAGTTCTTAAGGCGGTTTCCCCAGATTTGTTTTTTACTTCTTCCGATAGTGCTGAGGTAGTATTTATGTTCTTCTTGCTCACGATTTACGAGTCATTTCAACTTGCCTAGAAATTTAACCTTAATCCATTAAGACTGTGTGTAATTAATATAGCTTCCTTTAGTACCTAACATTATTCTAATTCAGATGTTAAGAAGAAAATTTATCGAGGCAAACTGACTAA